TGCCTGTGTCATGGTGAATACAGTCGCTGCTTTATGTATGTCTGTATAGGCCGTTGTTGTGAGTGTGGACGGTCGGAGCATATACTGCGTTAGCTTAGCCAATCTCCATCTAGAAAAACACCCATTTTAAAAGGTTTTTCGCCTGCCGTCTGTCTGCAGACTTGACAAAGCATTAATTCATGGTTTTTACTAACCGGTATCAGTATGTTGTTACTTCGGCATCATTTTGAAACGTGTATTACAATTAAATCACGGTCAAATATGTCCATCTTGTTGTAGTTGTAGCCCCTTGCCAGCGCTCCTCTCTCTAGTTTAGCATACTCAGCCCGACTCAGCCCGACTCAGCCCTGTTTGTTGGCCTCGATAGAACCACAATTTTCTCGGGCCAGAAAAGACGTGAAAAAGTGGCCCGGGCCGGGCCGGGCCGGAACTAGGCCTAGTGGAAGCGCAACCAAAAACGGGCACGGCACGACACGGCACGCTTAAAGCGAGCTCCGCGCTGTAGTGGAACTGCGCCAAAACATGGACGGCCAGGGACAGAGACAGGGTAAGAAGTAACTGTTCGTCTGACTGCCTTTTGTTATGTTTGTTTCTACTCCTGTTCTTTTTAAAGCGACCTTGGGTCTCATGAAAGGCGCTATATAAATCCAAGTTATTATTAATACATCATTGGAACGGTAAGAATCTCAGCTACAACACTGACTAAAGCCTTCCCATCTCCAGTATGCCTACATGACAAGTATTTTTATAATATACAGAAAACATATCTTTGACTTATTGCAAAATTATAAAATGAAATTCACCCCTGCTGTCATTCTGGCTTTGACTGTTCAAATGAGATGTCAACCATCAAAATGGGATAAGGGGTTCCAGAAATATCACTGTGCAAAAGACACCGGCCAATTTTAACCGATAATAGTATGGGAAGGGGGGTATGACCGAATGCAAGAGAAGAGACAATCATCAAGCCAGATACCAAGGTATTTACAACAGGCAACCACTTCAATTACTTTTCCTTTATGTTATTGTTATTTGGTTTTTATTAGTGCTTTTGTCGTTTTGAAGGAAATTAAAATACTGTATTGAGTTGGTTTCTTCTGTTTTGGAAGCCTTGTATATCTTTTTGGTCTTGTTAGAAATACCCCATGGTAAAACTGTGTTCTAGCAGCAGTTAAAGAAGCTTAGTTTGCTGTCTTAGACTGCCAGATGTATTAAGATGGTTTGTTCACAATTTACACATAAAACCTAAATGTTCATCTGTTTATTGTTCTTCTTCCTTTATATTCAAAGCATGTTGATTGTCTATTGGCTATATCTTGACATTATGTTAATTTGATCATACTTGCCATACATTTATTTTAATTGATGCGATTCCTTCAAAGGTTTTGTAATAGACCCCTAGTACTTTTAATTTATAAAGTAATAATAATACATGTAATAATAAGCTCATTAGTGGCCTGACTGGCCCTCCTAATTTGTTCCTTAATGACCCCATGATGTGATTATGTATATCTTAAAACCTTTAACAACTATATTTAGATGTTCACAAATATCTACATTTATGTATAAAATACATGTGTAGCAGTTAGACAAACATAATCAATAGATTATCTCATTAATACCTATTTTATATATTAAAAAAAAGTTTACTAAACCACCGTTTGTTGACAAAATGATTTGGGTTGAAAGTTATACTGTTGTGTCTCAAACGGATAGACTAGGTTATTCATTTATTTGCCTAATAGTTGCTTAAAATGCTACAATAACATTTGCAATTCGCTTTTAATCTGCCATGTACGGTAATGTCTCTCAGCCACCGTAGTGTCGTGTCAGGTGGGCGTGTCGTGTAGTGGGCGTGTCGTGTAGTGTCGTGTACTGGCCGCGGCCGCAGCTAGACCATATTGGTGAGCGGTGTGAACAGAGCGGGAGCTGAAAAGGGAAACGGGAGCTGAACCAGAAAAGCTCTCGCGAGGAGCTAGAAAGTGAAAAGCGCCGGTGTGAAAGCCGCATGATCATCTCATATCAACAGCAAGCACAACATGATTTAGATCACATGGGTTTTTTCTTATTACAAAGGAAATAAAATACACTTTTTTACAATCTGTTTGTTTACAGCTTTGGCCATTTGTCCATTCAGTCATTTTCAATATACTTTTTTTTTTTTAAAGCCTGGTTGGCATCTTGCTAGGAATCACATGTTCCTACTTTTCCGATACAAATGATGGCCACCACCAGCGTAAGTAAAACTGTAGTACCTCAATCTTAAAATATCATATAATGAAGAATATGACGTCTTCATGAGTCATTTCAAGAACAAATAGAAGTTAACGTGCCATTTCATAAAACCCATAGGTATTAACTATATGTTAGTAGTTACAGTTAATTGCATTTCTCTGTACAATGTTTAACCTTACATTCTCTTCTTTCACCTGCACTATTTTATTAAAATTGATTGTACTCTGTTTCATTTGCACTATTTCAAGTTTTTTATTATATATATTTTTTTGTCTTATGTCCTGTATATATAATATGTTGCATTGTTGGAGGAACCTAAGATTTGCATTGCCATAACTACACTGTAGCTGCTGTGCACGTGATAATAAAACCCTTGAATCTTGAATCTATACTACGTGTTGCAGCCATTACACTCATATTGGAGTTATGCATAGAAATCTATCATGGCTTCTGGTTGAGAAACGTCTGCAATCTGGTGTTATCACTTTTCTCAGAAATGTCCAATTTGGCAAAAAAAAGACTGTATTTTTATGATCAAATATTTTACACAAGAGACGAGCATGACCATAAGACTAGACAAGCTACATCAGGCCATCTACTGGCACCTACACCCAGGACACATCTTCTGAACTCTTCTGTGACTTATGCGGCTTTCACACCGGCGCTTTTCACTTTCTAGCTCCTCGCGAGAGCTTTTCTGGTTCAGCTCCCGTTTCCCTTTTCAGCTCCCGCTCTCTTCACACTGCCCAGAGCTGCCGCTGCTGCGTCATGACGTCACAGTTTACGTCGCTGATTTTCTCCCACAACAACAACGGGCCGGGGACTGCATCGGGTCGATGATCGTGTTGCTTTTAATCATACGAAGCCAGATTAAATTAAATAACGACTTCTCCAACCTTATACTTTTCTCCAGAGTGCCGTGGTTCATTGTTTATTAATGTGTTTCAGCGGCATTTACCGACCGCTGCAGTGCTGGCTGCTCTTCCACGGGAGTTTATTTTCCCGTTAGCTCCGGGTTAGCTCACACGGCTCTAAAATATTCACTGTCTGACTGTCACACAAGCAGCTGATACATATCCCCAGTTCCCCTTAAGTGAATGTGTGTCAGTCTGAATTGACGCTGTTTGGCATCACAACGCTGTTATGAAAGTTTCTCTGGTATAACATGGGTGATGTTAGCATAGCAACCGAAGCTAAACTGACTACTTGCTAAGCCGTTTCCTATAGGCACATTTTACCGGCGTATTTCTCATTATGATTCTACTTCTGATAGTCGGACATGACAACCTGTATAGCCAATGTATCTCCACAATGATCAATAACAGCGAACGGATGGTCAAAGTAAGGTTTCCTGCACGCCTCGACGTAAGAGACGTAAGCGACGCCGCGTCATAGCTCCGAAGCTCTTGCCTCTGGACCGCCAATTTTTTGGAGCTGGAAGTGAACCGCATTCCGGAGCTATGACGCGCCGCCGCTGCGGTGTGAACAGGAAAAACCGGCGCTTTTCAGGCTCTAGCTCCTAGCAGGAGCTGGAAAAGCGCCGGTGTGAAAGGGGTATTAGAGAGCTACAATGGAACTCATTGCCAAACTACCTTGCTGACATAGAGTCCAGAGCCTCTTTCAAGAAGAGATTGAAGTGCCATCTACTAATGAGCATGTACCCCTTGTGAACTGTAAACCCTAATTTAATATAATGTCATGCTTTGTACTGGTGGGTGTCTTGTGCACTCATCCTTGGCTGAGTTTGATGTTGAAAGTGGATGAGATTGTTCATGATGTGTGTGATGTTGTTAATGATGTCAGGACTTATGTCTTGAATGTTGTTGTGTTGAGTATTATTGTTGTATTGTTTTAAGTGTCGGACCCCAGGAAGAGTAGCTTTTGTCAAGAGCAAAAGCTAACGGGGATCCTAAATAAACATAGATTACATGTCACTTGTTAGACACTTTTATCCAAAGCGACTTACTTACTCAATACTGTGGCCAATCCCCACAGGAGCAATTTGGGGTGAAGTGTCTCAGGGACACAACGACATGCACCAACGCACAACCCACTGCACCACACGCCTCCGTTAAAAATAAACATATGTTATTTGTTATATTTTGAACACTAGATGGCGTAATGGGGCCACAGGATATAATTGATGTCCCTGGTTCAGGTGGGTGATCTGGGACTGGGAAGAGCAAACAGTTTTTTGACCGTGTTTGTTGGAAAATGAATGGTATTGAAAGCAATGGAGATCACACGCGTCCAACTAGTTTACCCAGTTCAGCCATTCCCTCTGTGATATTGAGTGGCAATAGTCACCACACTACGTGTTCAACACACCTACCCACATTGCTTTTTGTTGGGGTTTTTAAACCAGCTAATAGAGTGGTGCAGTGACGAGTCCTAAAACCCAGAAGTGAGTTAGCATTTTGCCGACGTCACGCCAACTTAAGATCCATATTCAAAAATACAGATTCAAAATGGTACAAGTTGAAGCGTTTGTTTGAACAGTTTGCAGGAGGCAGGTACTTGCTTTCAAGCAGAACAGGGCAAACAAACTTAGAGGAGTGTTCACGTGTTCGGCGTAATGACGTAAAACGGCCTCCACAACTTCTGTAGTCCTATTCAGCCACTTGTTAACAACCATCGTTTTTCAGACACGTCAACTCTTCAAAAATCACCAGTGGGGTCACTGCTGATGTATTTAATGTCGTAGAACAAGCATCATATAATAGTCAAATAACTGTACGGCACGTTATTATTAAAGCCATACTTACAATATTGGCTGATGGCCTGAAAGAGAAGAAAAAAAACGAGTGTCATTCAGAAGAAATTCATCCATTCAGAGGTAAACCACAGCAATGATTCCTAACCTCTTGAAGGGATAGTTTGAATGTTATTGGTTGGGGTTTATTGAGGTATTTATAAGGTATAGTTAGAGCTTATGGCAAGGTTAAGCACTGAAGATATTCCAAATATACCGTACACTTAGAATTATCTTTCATTATTTACGTTGGGTTTCCCTTTTTTGGGGTGCGCTCCGCCATCTACTGTAACTGATACAATGCCTATAGATAAACACCTCATACAACCCCACTTCTAAACATCCAAACTAGCCCTTTAAAGTCACATGATCAGTTCTCTTCACACTGATTGTGTGTGAAGTGGATTACCGGTCCAGGGGAAACCAAAAGAACATCCTTGACCTGAAACCAGGCCGTGTCAATTTGGACAGGAGGAACTTTATCAATAATACTGGAGAGTAGACTTTAAACACTTTTCAACGAATGGCAGGTTTGTCTTATAAGTTTAACTTGAATCTTGTGTGAATTTGTAAGTGTCATTTACTTAAAGCAGGTTTGTTATTCTTCCATCTATTCTTCTCTAATGCACCTTAGATAAAACATCAGTGATCCAAAGCTTCAGCTCAAAAGCATCTATGTTAATAGTTTAATAGCATCCTTCATTTCCTGTTGATTGCACATGCATTGCACATGCACTTTAGTCCCTTCAAAATGCATTTATTGGAATAATAAACCCCTGAGGTCTTCTTACTTCTGTGTATGCGGCACCGACGCTTCCACGGACACAATGATTACTACAACAACTGCAAAAACAATTATTATAATAATAATCATCTTTCGGTATTTCATCCAGACTGAAAGAAAGAAAAGATCAATCAGTCATCTCATCAACAGCAAACACAACATGAATTAGATCACATGGGTTTTTTCTTATTACAAAGGAAATAAAATACTCTTTTTTTACAGCTTTAGCCATTTGTCCATTCAGTTATTTTCAATATATATATGTATTTTTTAAAGTCTGGTTGGCATCTTGCTTGGAGTTACATTTCCGATACAAAAGATGGTCACCACCAGCGTTGCCAGAAGGGAAAAGTAAAACTATAGTACCTCAATCTTAAAATATCATATAATGAAGAATATGAGTCATTTCAAGAACAAATAGAAGTTAACGTGTCATTTCATAAAACCCTAGGAGGAACCTAAGCTTTGCATTGCCATAGCTACACTGTAGCTGCTGTGCACGTGATAATAAAACCCTTGAATCTTGAATCTATACTACGTGTTGCAGCCATTACACTCATATTGGAGTTATGCATAGAAATCTATCATGGCTTCCGGTTGAGAAATGAAAAATTGGAAAATGTCCAATTATGATCAAATAGTTTACACAAGAGACGAGCATGACCATCAGACTAGACAAGCTACATCAGGCCATCTACTGGCACCTAAACCCAGGACACATCTTCTGAACTCTTCTGTGACTTAGAGAGCTACAATGGAACTCATTGCCAAACTACCTTGCTGACATAGAGTCCAGAGCCTCTTTCAAGAAGAGATTGAAGTGCCATCTACTAATGAGCATGAACCCCTTGTGAACTGTGAACCCTAATTTAATTTAATTTCATGCTTTGTACTGGTGGGTGTCTTGTGCGCTCATCCTTGGCTGAGTTTGATGTTGAAAGTGGATGAGATTGTTGATGATGTGTGTGATGTTGTTAATGATGTCAGGACTTATGTCTTGAATGTTGTTGTGTTGAGTATTGTTGTATTGTTTTAAGTGTCGGACCCCAGGAAGAGTAGCTTTCTTCAAGAGCAAAAGCTAACGGGGATCCTAAATAACCATAAACATATGTTATTTGTTATATTTTGAACACTAGATGGCGTAATGGGGCCACAGGATATAATTGATGTCCCTGGTTCAGGTGGGTGATCTGGGATTGGGAAGAGCAAACAGTTTTTTGACCGTGTTTGTTGGAAAATAAATGGTGTTGAAAGCAATGGAGATCACACGCGTCCAACTAGTTTACCCAGTTCAGCCATTCCCTCTGTGATATTGAGTGGCAATAGTCACCACACTACGTTTCAACACACCTACCCACATTGCTTTTTGTTGGGGTTTTTAAACCAGCTAATCGTTAGCATCATATAATAGTCAAATAACTGTACGGCACGTTTAGAATTTGATCCTAGAGTGAGCAACATTCATTAGTTTAGTTTTATCAATTGTTGATCTGCAGTTCAGCGTCAAGATACAAATTGATTTGCAGCTTCTTAAGAAAATACGAATTAGGATATTTTGGGTATTATGATATAATATGTTACTAAATGGATTCTAACTTTAAAAAACACCGGTTTCAACCTCCTAATAGCTTCTTCTTTTTTACACGTGAGTACTACTAGGTAAATATCACTTCACAGCCACTATAGACAGAAGGTTTTCACATGGCAATGGCTTATTAATGTAGATATTGGAAAACTGTCATCTGAAAATAGAAGGTTATTATTAAAGCCATACTTACAAGATAGCCAGCTGCTGTCCTGAAAGAGAAGAAAAAAAACGAGTGTCATTCAGAAGAAATTCATCCATTCAGAGGTAAACCACAGCAATGATTCCTAACCTCTTGAAGGGATAGTTTGAATGTTATTGGTTGGGGTTTATTGAGGTATTTATAAGGTATAGTTAGAGCTTATGGCAAGGTTAAGCACTGAAGATATTCCAAATATACCGTACACTTAGAATTATCTTTCATTATTTCCGTTGGGTTTCCCTTTTTTGGGGTGCGCTCCGCCATCTACTGTAACTGATACAATGCCTATAGATAAACACCTCATACAACCCCACTTCTAAACATCCAAACTAACCCTCTAAAGTCACATGATCAGTTCTCTTCACATTGATTGTGTGTGAAATGAATTACCTGTGCAGGGGAAACTCCAAGAACATCCTTGACCTGAAACCAGGCCGTGTCATTGCGGTTGCAGATCAGCATTTTGCTCTGATGGAACAGAACGTCTACGGTGACGATGACATTCGGGTTTTCCACGAGTCTCCTGCTTTCAGGCACAAAATGATCTTTGTCGTAGGTGTGATGCATCACCACCAGAAAGATTGGTTTCCCACCTGTGAGCACAGAGATAATGTTGGGAAAATACTGAAGGTACTCTTCCAATATCAGAGTACACATGATAACAAAGGTTTCCCAACTGTAGCTGTGAACATGACAGGATGTATGATTACCTAGAAGAGCATCAGGACTGTTTGAGGCATATGATAGCTATGTGATTAACATGATGATTCAGCCTCTATGGAGATAGACATATGACAAGCATGATCATTTCTGACGTGGAGCTAATCTGAAGTAAACATTGAATACTGCTTTATATTCCTCCATCTTGTGACTGTGTAACTCCCTCTCTTGGATATCAGCATGTGAAGGACACTGTTCAGGAACTAGTTGATGCTCTGTATGTGATGACTACTTCCATTCTGGAGAGGATCACAAATACATGGATCCTGAGATTGAAGCTCAAGCCGGTGACCAGTGATTATTAACATTTTGAGAAAAGTCAGAATTTTGGAAAAAAAGTCAAAATTTGAGATTTTTGAGAAAAAGTCAGAATTTTGAGATTTTGACCAAAAGTCAGAATTTTGACAAAAATACCAACAAATTCTCTTTTTGTTTTGACTACTTCCATTCCTGAGAGGATAATAAATACATGGATCCTGATATTGAAGCTCAAGCCGGTGACGAGTGAGATTTTTCTAACAGATAACACAACGTTTTTTAACATTTCCCTGTGTACCTTTGAATAACCAGTGGGAAATCGGCCAATCATCGTCCTAGACATTTCCTACCTGGGATTTTGTCCATTGCCTCTCCGATGTCTGTTCCAACTCGAGACGCGATGGGACAGAAAAGCACCAAGTAGTCACTTTGTTCAGGAGAGATCACCTCGATTTGACCCATCCCTTTGAGGTCATTAACATAGGTCTGATGAGCACCGTTGGTACATCCTGCCACGGAGACATGGAATTTCCTCCCCAGCACTAAACACAGAGAAGATTTGTTTTGAGTAATTTTGTTTAGATTCATACCACAAACCCAGATGCAGAAGAACCATGTCCAAAAGTGTGACTTAAAGTTTCAAAAGCCACCAGACTCCATTGCAAAAATACAGAAGTGAAGTTTTCACATCTTCCCATAATATAACGGACCAATATGCTTGCTTTTGTTCTTGACCTCTCTGTCATTATTAACGACCAGAGATCCAGTTGTAAAGGTGTATGTTGGTTTATCACAACAACCAACTCCTATCTCACTGCATTTTATCCGTTAAACCATTAAAAAAGTATCAGAAATATTAGCAAAGCAGCTTTATTTTAATGACTAAATGTAGTGTATTGTCTATAATACTGGAATATTGCAGTCTTGAAAGAACACCATGGTGGAAAAGTACTTATTTTGTTCACTTAAAGCCAACTTTTTTGTCTCGTGTTCCCCTTGTGCTGGTCACTATTCTATACGAATCACTGTTATCTGTGATTAAATAAGATAAGATGTACTCTCTTGATCCCAATTTGGGAGATGTTTGCGTGGCAGCAGCATAAAAGACAAGGCGTTGCACATAAGAGAAATTAAAAGGGTAGAAATAAAGAATTTTAAAATGTTATGTTAAACGTTTTGTTATTGTATTTAACCCAACTGCTCCTTAGATGAAAATCACTTGTATACCTCACCCTTAATACAAATGTATTTAAACTTGACATTTACACTTATTGTGAGTGAAAAATAATAATATTAAGACTCACTTCTAGCAGTTTCAACATCTATGTTAAGAGCTTTTATTGAGACACTTGACACTTGCTTGTCTTTCATAAGCTTTGATAGTTCTGGGGGCGGGACACCAGGCTTATGAAAATTGATTTTAAAATGTTTTTTTGTGTGGAAATACTGTATATTTCAATCCCTAATCTTTCTTCCTATCCCCTGCAATACCCTTAAGCACCTCTAGGGTTGGGAACCACTGACTGAAAGGACCAGTGTGTAGCTTTAGTGACATCTAGTGGTGAAAATGCAGATTACAACTATGATCTGCAAGAATTATTATCATTTTTCGATGCCAACCAAGAAGAAAAAAGCCTAAAAAAAAGCCAATTGAGGGTTTCCATTGGAATTATGAATATTGGGGAGAAGCTTCGTAGCAAGCACAACGTTATGATGGTTATAAGTTTAGTCCAGCAAGATCAAAGCACAACCTTCTTCATAATCATGTGATTGTGTAAATATTATATTCCATTTCTGACAATAATTCCGCCCTGTCCTACACATAGGTCCTTCAAGTTAAAGTGCCCACACCCTGAAACTAAATTAAAGTCGTATATTTAAAGCTGTGTGTGAGTATTAGCAGCAACTGAGCTTTGAATTTTGAAAGTGAAAGTATTCATCGTGCAGTAAAATGGCCCCTCTTAGGGTGTTATTGTTATATAACACAGGCTGTATATCCTGCTAATCCTTACATTTGACGCGGATAAATTGACATGTAAAGTCATCACATTTAGAGACACATGCTTTTCTTTAGACAGGAAGGACGAATTGTAATCTGTAAAGTCATTAAAAATGTCGTAAAAAAATAGGCCACCTCTGAAATGTGTACAAAGTTGCAAGAATGATGAGTAAATGTGTACATGTAGTTCATTTCTAAAGACACTTCTTACCCTGTTTCTGTCTCTGGCCGTCCATGTTTCTGAGGAAGATAAATGGAAACCTTTAGTACACACACTTCAAACATGCGTCACAAACACTCTTCTCTATCTCTTAAAAAAGCGTGCGTTAGTCCGTGAGAGTATATTAAAGTGAACTTAGAACCTGCAGAGTTACCCCGTTAAATGGTAGATATGCAGCAGCCTTAAAAGAAGAGTACTTACTGAAAAGACTGATAGTTTATCTGGCCTGGCTCTTGCATGTTGCTCTGCTCTTTCACTTTCCCTTTCTGCGGCTACGTGCTCTCTGGTGACTGCTGCAGGAAGAGGAGACACTGTGTCTGCTCTCATAACATGTGACAGCGGTGGGAAGTACTCAGGTCTTTTACTTGAGTTAAAGTAGAAGTACTCCCAAAGTGATTATAGACTTTCATCTGTTTGGTATTTATGGACAATTAAAAATATTATAGTCTGTGTCCATCTGATCTGTGTGTTTATAGGTTGAATTTTGTGAAATACCACACTGTAATGTTCCCTCTACTCTGTGTTAACGCTGCTTTCTGCAGGGTTTCCTAGATCTTGTACTTGAGTAAAAGTAGAAGTATAGTCACATCTTATATTTGAGTTAGTAGAAGTACTCAGATCTTGTACTTGAGTTAGAGTAGAAGTACTCAGATCTTGTACTTGAGTAAAAGAAGAAGTACTCACATTTTGTACTTGAGTTAAAGTAGAAGTACACAGATCTTGTACTTGAGTAAAAGTAGGCTAGAAGTACTCAGATATTTGACTTGAGTATAAGTATAAGTACTCAGATCTACCAGAGTAGGAATACTCTGTTACAACTAAAAGTCCTGCATTCAAAATGTTACTCAAGTAAAAGTAGAAAAGTATTATCATCAAAATATAGTTAAAGTAGCGACAGTAAAAGTATTCATTGTGCAGATTGGTCCATTTCAGAATAATATATATGATATGTTTTATAATGATTGATCATTAAAGTGTTCTCAAAGCTGGTAAAGGTGCAGCTAGTTTGAATGACTTTGTATACTGCAGGGTAGCTTGTGAATTTACTCCAGGTGGAACTAAAGTCTGATTTAACACTTGATTATATTTCACATCATTCATCCAGATCAGTAAAGCAACTAAAGGTTTAAAAGTATTTACTCAAGTACAGTACTTAAGTACACTTGTACTATACTTGAGTATTTCCCTTAATGCTACTTTGTACTTCTACTCCTCTACAATTCAGAGGTAAATGGTATTTAATACCTTTAGTTACTTTACAGATGTGGATGAATGATGTGAAATATAATCAAGTGTTAAATCAGACTTTAGTTCCACCTGGAGTAAATTCACAAGCTACCCTGCAGTATACAAAGTCATTCAAACTAGCTGCACCTTGACCAGCTTTGAGAACACTTTCATGATCAATCATTATAATCAAAGGTGAAATAAACTGTACATGTCAAATAGAATAAGATGAGAAAATTAAATAATGTACAGGAATGAAGATCTTAAATGCAACTTTAATTATTCATCCTTTTACATTTAAATCTACTCAGTCTTACAGCTTGACCCTCAAAGTTGATTTAATTTAAAGGGGACCTATCATGCAAAATGCACTTTTGTACGTCTTTTCTACATGAATATTTGTCCCCGGTGTTCCAGGGAACTCACCAAGTGTCAGAAAACACAACCCTCTCTATTTTCCTCCATACCCAAATCTCTAAGAAAGGGGCTGCAACGGATCTGATAAAAACTGATCCAGATTTGAACACTTCAATGACGTCACAGAAGTGGCGCTACGACTATTGGGCCAACTCTCCACCAATCAGGGGAATGTGAGGTTGGGCCACGGCCGGCCATTGCCACTCGAAAGCGCTGGAGACGCTGTAGTACATATGCCAGGCCTGTAAGTGGCGCTGTAGTCTGCCACAAAAGCAGCGAAGAAGACTTCCCGCCCATAGTTACCATGGTTACCCTTCTGTTTATTCTCCGCTGTGGCTTTTTTTCTCCCTCCCCGGTCAAGATGTCCGTTAAAGTTTAAATCTTCTGGACAAAATTAGAAAAGTGCCGGTCAAAGGTCTGCTTTGTTATTTATTGAGCTTTAAAACAAATGAATAACGACTCTATATAATAAAACACGGAGGACAGAGATCTCTTTTTCTCCCCCTCTTGACTTGATCAGAGCACGGCTCCCCTCTCCTGCAGGGGGGCGTGGTCAGCTGCAGTCACAGAATCAGCCCCGTAGACAGCAAACAGCACATAGAGCGAAATGAGGCATGGCTAAAATGCATGATCTGTTTGGTATTTTGAAAACAGAAACGTATAAATATACCTTATATAGGTATGGCCCTACAATATATCATTTAAATATAGCATGATATATAGCTTTTCATTATTTGTATTAAATGTCTACTTATATCCCACTCCCCTGATGCAGCCTATCAGCTCTCAGAGGCAGGCTGTCAGGAGGACGCACCCCCCCTAATGCTGCATTCAAAGTCTGCTCGTAAACTCCTACAACTTAAATATTTCCATTTGATCAGCCTTTACTTCCTGTGCATTACATCTCAGGGGCAAACATTGTGTTGCTTCAATTACATGTATCAGATAATACTCGCTTTTAAATTCCTTACAGATTCATATTTTATATATAAAACACAATCAGCTATGCATTATAGTAGATACGTGAGATCAGGGCCGTGCCTCCCTACAGGCCGATCACGCAGACTGGCGCAATTAGTGTGGCGCGGCACGGTTTCGCCACTGCCAGGCTCCACCTAGCACCCGTCCCCGTCCCCCACCGTCCCCGTCCCCCCCGTCCCCGCCCCCGTCCCCCCCGTCCCCCCCGTCCCCCCCGTCCCCGTCGACGCCCGCGAAACAGAGGGCCTCATCATATATCTTTGCGTGGGGCCTCATGTTGGCCAGGGACAGCCCTGGAAACATGTTCATCCACAATGAGACACAGGTACACAGACACTGTGATTGATTGATTTGTATTTATTATGTTGATGTTTTAATGAGCACAAAGCAGCAGCAGCTGCAGCAGGGTTTTACAGATATTTTAGGATATGTTAAACTTGATAAGATTTGATCACACACTTCTCTACTGCACACATTTAAACATTATGTTAACAAATCTGTATATCTCAAAAGCACACTGAATTAACATTCTCATTTAACACTTTTGTACCCATTCACCTACATTAAAATCTCTGTTTAAAAGATTTCTTCGGTGCCAATTTTGACAGGAGGAACATTATCAATAATAGACTTTAAAGACTTTTCAACGAATGACAGGTTTGTCTTATAAGTTTAACTTGAATTTCATTTGAATTTGTAAGTGTCATTTACTTAAAGCAGGTTTGTTATTCTTCCATCTATTCTTCTCTAATGCACCTTAGATAAAACATCAGTGATCCAAAGCTTCAGCTCAAAAGCATCTATGTTAATAGTTTAATAGCATCCTTCATTTCCCGTTGATTGCAAATGCATTGCACATGCACTTTAGTCCCTTCAAAATGCATTTATTGGAATAATAAACCCCAGAGGTCTTCTTACTTCTGTGTACGCGACACCGACGCTACCACGGACACAATGATTTTGACAACAACAACAACAACAACAATTCCTCCAATAATCATCCACACTGAAAGAAAGAAAAGATCAATCAGTCATCTCATATCAACAGCAAGCACAACATGATTTAGATCACATGGGTTTTTTCTTATTACAAAGGAAATAAAATACACTTTTTTACAATCTGTTTTTTTACAGCTTTGGCCATTTGTCCATTTAGTCATTTTCAATATATATATTTTTTAAAGCCTGGTTGGCATCTTGCTAGGAGTCACATGTTCATAATTTTTTCTAATACAAAAGATGGCCATCACCAGCGTTAGTAAAACTATAGTACCTCAATCTTAAAATATCATATAATGAAGAATATGAGTCATTTCAAGAACAAATAGAAGTTAACGTGTCATTTCATGAAACCCACAGGTATTAACTATATGTTAGTAGTTATATTATTTTATTTCTCTGTACACTATTTAAACTTACAATCTTTTCTTTCACCTGCACTATTTTATTCAAATGTATCGTACTCTGTTACATTTGCACTATTTTTATTTTTTTATTATTATAAAAAATGTTGTCTTATGTCCTGTATATATAATATGTGGCATTGTTGGAGGAACCTAAGCTTTGCATTGCCATAGCTACACTGTAGCTGCTGTGCACGTGATAATAAAACCCTTGAATCTTGAATCTATACTACGTGTTGCAGCCATTACACTCATATTGGAGTTATGCATAGAAATCTATCACGGCTTCTGGTTGAGAAATGAAAAATTGGAAAATGTCCAATTATGATCAAATAGTTTACACAAGAGACGAGCATGACCATCAGACTAGACAAGCTACATCAGGCCATCTCCTGGCACCTAAACCCAGGACACATCTTCTGAACTCTTCTGTGACTTAGAGAGCTACAATGGAACTCATTGCCAAACTACCTTGCTGACATAGAGTCCAGAGCCTCTTTCAAGAAGAGATTGAAGTGCCATCTACTAATGAGCATGTACCCCTTGTGAACTGTGAACCCTAATTTATTTTTATCTCATGCTTTGTACTGGTGGGTGTCTTGTGCACTCATCCTTGGCTGAGTTTGATGTTGAAAGTGGATGAGATTGTTGATGATGTGTGTGATGTTGTTAATGATGTCAGGACTTATGTCTTGAATGTTGTTGTGTTGAGTATTGTTGTATTGTTTTAAGTGTCGGACCCCAGGAAGAGTAGCTTTCTTCAAGAGCAAAAGCTAATGGGGATCCTAAATAAACATACATTACATGTCACTTGTTAGACACTTTTATCCAAAGCGACTTACTTACTCAATACTGTAGCCGATCTGGGATGAAGGGTCTTGCCAAGGACGACCACGTCATGCGCATAACCCTCTGCGGCACACCCGTCCCTTAAAGATAAACATAAACATATGTTATTTGTTATATTTTGAACACTAGATGGCGTAATGGGGCCACAGAATATAATTGATGTCCCTGGTTCAGGTGGGTGATCTGGGACTGGGAAGAGCAAACAGTTTTTTGACCGTGTTTGTTAGAAAATAAATGGTATTGAAAGCAATCACACGCGTCCAACTAGTTTACCCAGTTCAGCCATTCCCTCTGTGATATTGAGTGGCAATAGTCACCACACTACGTTTCAACACACCTACCCACATTGCTTTTTGTTGGGGTTTTTAAACCAGCTAATCGTTAGCATCATATAATAGTCAAATAACTGTACGGCACGTTTAGAATTTGATCCTAGAGTGAGCAACATTCATTAGTTTAGTTTTATCAATTGTTGATCTGCAGTTCAGCATCAAGATACAAATTGATTTGCAGCTTCTTAAGAAAATACGAATTAGGATATTTTGGGTATTATGATATAATATGTTACTAAATGGATTCTAACTTTAAAAAACACCGGTTTTAACCTCCTAATAGCTTCTCTTTTTTACACGTGAGTACTACTAGGTAAATATCACTTCACAGCCACTATAGACAGAAGGTTTTCACATGGCAATGGCTTATTAATGTAGATATTGGAAAACTGTCATCTGAAAATAGAAGGTTATTATTAAAGCCATACTTACAAGATAGCCAGTTGCTGTCCTGAAAGAGAAGAAAAAAAACGAGTGTCATTCAGAAGAAATTCATCCATTCAGAGGTAAACCACAGCAATGATTCCTAACCTCTTGAAGGGATAGTTTGAATGTTATTGGTTGGGGTTTATTGAGATATTTATAAGGTATAGTTAGAGCTTATGGCAAGGTTAAGCACTGAAGATATTCCAAATATACCGTACACTTAGAATTATCTTTCATTATTTCCGTTGGGTTTCCTTTTTTTGGGGTGCGCTCCGCCATCTACTGTAACTGATACAATGCCTATAGATAAACACCTCATACAACCCCACTTCTAAACATCCAAACAAGCCCTTTAAAGTCACATGATCAGTTCTCTTCACATTGATTGTGTGTGATATGGATTACCTGTGCAGGGGAAACTCCAAGAACATCCTTGACCTGAAACCAGGCCATGTCATTGCGGTTGCAGATCAGCATTTTGCTCTCATGGAACAGAACGTCTACGGTGACGATGACATCCGGGTTTTCCACGAGTCTCCTGCTTTCAGGCACAAAATGATCTTTGTCGTAGGTGTGATGCATCACCACCAGAACGATTGGTTTCCCACCTGTGAGCACAGAGATAATGTTGGGAAAATACTGAATGTACTCTTCCAATATCAGAGTACACATGATAACAAAGGTATCCCAACTGTAGCTGTGTACATGACAGGATGTATGATTACCTAGAAGAGCATCAGGACTGTTTGAGGCATATGATAGCTATGTGATTAACATGATGATTCAGCCTCTATGGAGATAGACATATGACAAGCATGATCATTTCTGACGTGGAGCTAATCTGAAGTAAACATTGAATACTGCTTTATATTCCTCCATCTTGTGACTGTGTAACTCCCTCTCTTGGATATCAGCATGTGAAGGACACTGCTCAGGAACTAGTTGATGCTCTGTATGTGATGACTACTTCCATTCTGGAGAGGATCACAAACACATGGATCCTGATTATTGAAGCTCAAGCCGGTGACGAGTGATTATTAACATTTTGAGAAAAGTCAGAATTTTGAGAAAAAGTCAGAATTTTGATATTTTGACCAAAAGTCAGAATTTTGACATTTTGACAAAAATACCAACAAATTCTCTTTTTGTTTTGACTACTTCCATTCTTGAGAGGATAATAAATACATGGATCCTGATATTGAAGCTCAAGCCGGTGACGAGTGAGATTTTTCTAACAGATAACACAACGTTTTTTTACATTTCCCTGTGTACCTTTGAATAACCAGTGGGAAATCGGCCAATCATCGTCCTAGACATTTCCTACCTGGGATTTTGTCCATTGCCTCTCCGATGTCTGTTCCAACTTGAGACGCGATGGGACAGAAAAGCACCAAGTAGTCACTTTGTTCAGGAGAGATCACCTCGATTTGACCCATCCCTTTGAGGTCATTAACATAGGTCTGATGAGCACCGTTGGTACATCCTGCCACGGAGACATGGAATTTCCTCCCCGGCACTAAACACAGAGAAGATTTGTTTTGAGTAATTTTGTTACTAAATGGATTCTAACTTTAAAAAACACCGGTTTTAACCTCCTAATAGCTTCTCTTTTTTACACGTGAGTACTACTAGGTAAATATCACTTCACAGCCACTATAGACAGAAGGTTTTCACATGGCAATGGCTTATTAATGTAGATATTGGAAAACTGTCATCTGAAAATAGAAGGTTATTATTAAAGCCATACTTACAAGATAGCCAGCTGCTGTCCTGAAAGAGAAGAAAAAAAACGAGTGTCATTCAGAAGAAATTCATCCATTCAGAGGTAAACCACAGCAATGATTCCTAACCTCTTGAAGGGATAGTTTGAATGTTATTGGTTGGGGTTTATTGAGGTATTTATAAGGTATAGTTAGAGCTTATGGCAAGGTTAACCTGTTAAGCCCTGAGCCTGTTTTTCAGCTTTCAGGCTCGAAAATGCCACTTACACAACAAAGACTATATCTTCACTTCTAAAAGGGGGAAATTAATAATCTTTTTTCTCAAAGCAAGGTTACATCTGTGAGTTGGATGAAGTAGTGTCAGAAATCAATATAGATGTTTTTATTTTAAAATAAATTCATATGGAACATAGTAAAAACATGTAAATTCTATCTCCGCCTAAAAAAAACCCATTACAGATAGTGAAAACCACCCTTGGATGATGGGTTAGTAGACTAAAAGCTTTAGGAATCCAAAGTACAAAATATAATAAGTACCCTGTATCAAGATTGATGCAAAACAAGATACATTTGACCTTTTTAGAGAGATTTAGAAAAATAAAGTCCAGGCGGACTCACCTCTGGGTAATTTGGGAACCATCAGTTCCATTTGACCTTTTTCACTGTAAAAATCATTTTATTACTTTGAATTATCACTATAGGTATTCATTCCATCCAAATACAACTGTTGTAAAAAAAAAAGAAAAAAGAAAAAAAAATATACAAAATGAAGTTTGACTCCAACTGGAGCAGATTTATTTAAAACTTTACAATTTAGCATGCCATTCCTCGTAACAATTTTTTTTGGAAGTGAAGCACAGAGGGACCTCACACTTCCTGCAGTACACAGCTGTCTTCACCTTCTTTTTGCCAGCATCATGGCAGTTCCTGCAGTTCTTCCTGATCCGGACATCTTTCCCATAAAACTTGGGCCCGCATGTGAGTGGTGGTGGGGGTGGAGGTGTTCCAAATTCCAACATTTCTGCAGCAAGCTGCTCCCTGAAAGTCTTCTGGGTGTGTGGCTTTGTCCTGCTGGGGTCACTCGTCATCTTGTGCAGCTCCTTGTGGAGAATGAAGCTGTTCACCACTGCAATGTCCACAAAATGGTAAAAAAAAGTCTTGTACCATTTCATAGTTTTGTGGAGAACGCTGTAGTACCCGATCAAAGCGTCAGACACATCCACGCCGCCCATGCTTCTGTTGTAGTCCAACACAGCGTCAGGAACGGGAACAGTCTTAGTCTGCCACACACCAGCCTGTTTCACTTTCCGCTGGACCGTCTGACCGCTGAAGGCCTCGTGCACTGTGGAGCACATGGTCACTTCACGGCTGTCCATCCACTTTATGAATAGGAGTTTGCCTTCCCTTATCCACCGCAGTTCTCCCCTTTCAGCCTTCTTTGGTAGGCCATTCAACTCAGTCTGTGGGAAACCAACTCGATTTTTTCGAATGGTCCCACAACAGCCAATGTTTCTTTTGGCCAAATCCCCAAAGAGGGCAGGGCTAGTGTAGATGCTGATGCGGGCCTTTGAGGCGACCATCCTCTCATCTATTGAAATGTTTTGATGGGGCTGGAAATGTGCTTTGCAGGCAGTAACGATGTCCGTGTACAGGGGCTTTATTTTGAAAAGTCTGTCGTACTCAGCGGTGTTCCTTTTGCGAACGTTTTCCTCGTCTTCTTCAGGGTTGCTCAGGTGCAGTGACCACATGATGGCTCCGAAGCGGTCCCGGGACATCGAATCACCTGGGAATTTGAAGTTATATGGCCATTTCTTCCTCCAGTAGTCCGATCGGTTGGGAACGGTGACGAGGCCTGAGAAAATTATAATGGACAGGAAAACATAGAAATCCCTCACAGTCAGCATTTTCCAAACATGCTTCTTTCCAGCCTGCAGTCTTTTCAGGGCGTTGGCGTTCGTGTTGGAAATGATTGTATGAACCACTGAAGCGCTAAAAAAAAGTCTGAAAATGGAGAGGGGAGACCATGCTACAGTGGGGTCGAGCGCTGGGCCTGGGACCCTGGCTGGTGTGAAATTCAGTGGCTCTGGTGTTTGGTCATTCTCCTCTCTGTTGTGCCACCCGAGTTCTTCTTCTGTCATTCTGGAAGAGGAAGAACCTCGGCCACGCTTCCTGCGTTTTACACATTTATCTGATGCTTTTCCTTTTCCTGGCTGAGGAGCGGGAGCCCCACCTCGGCCACGCTTCCTTTGGTTTACAGATGCATCTGACGCTGCAGAAAGCTGGTAGAAACCAGACGATGGTAGCTTTGGAAGTGAGGGCTTTTTGGATGCAGGCTGAGTGGCCAATACTGGTGCAGATCTCTTTCTGGAGGAATGTGATGGTGATGCAGGTGTGGCAGGTGTGGGCTGGGTGAAAGTAGGCAGTGGTGAAGCCATTTCATCCTCATCTCCATCACTATGAAAAGAAATGTGGAAAAACAAAGAGATTAGATTAATTCCTGTAATTCCTGTTTCCTTGGCAGTAAACATGCCATTTTGAATGTGTGAATGCAATACATCTAGTGACTATAGAGCCATTTCATCCTCATCTACATCACTTTGAAAAGAAATGTGGAAAAACCAAGAGATTAGATTAATTCCTGTAATTCCTGTTTCCTTGGCAGTAAACATGCCATTTTGAATGTGTGAAGGCAACACATCTAGTGACTATAGAGCCATTTCATTCTCATCTACATCACTTTGAAAAGAAATGTGGAAAAACCAAGAGATTAGATTAATTCCTGTAATTCCTGTTTCCTTGGCAGTAAACATGCCAACCCTGTCTCCTAAAAATGATGTTCCCACAGAACTAAACTCCAACTAAATACGTTTATTTTCTACATATGTTTGCCATTTATTGTCTTGCTTATAATAATGATAATAGTCATTTATAAACACCATTTTAGAGCACACATTTGAAATCGACGATCGATATATGGTTAAATTAAAATCAGTAGGCGAGGCTGTAATTTCGCCAGCTGTTACTCTCATGAGCAAGGCAGAAAATAATAGTTTTATTATAGCGCTGTATTATTATTTATTAACTATATGAATAATCGTACACCAAATAACTAAGTAATAGATAAAAACAGAGAGATTACATACCTTTCCCGTGGTGGAATTTCATCATCAGAGTCACAACGCTCCGGGTTCCGTTCTGGCTGCAAGAGGTCCTCGTCGTCTGACTCAGAATCAACAGGTAACATGTCTGCATCGCTGTCAGCATTAGTCACCATTTCCATTGCCTGTAAAGTCGTAAGCATCTCTTTCCTGCAAGCCATTATTACAAGTATAGAGCAAGTATAGCAAAAGTCCTAAACGCCAATCTTGTAGTCTGCTCCGTTATCTGCTGTCCGCTCTGTGCGCTCTGGGTGCTGCTGCAATTCCTCTTCTTTACGTAGTAAACACTGCGTAGAGTCTGCTGCGTAATGTGTGTGCCGCTGGGATTCACAATTTATACTTTACGCAGGAGCATATCTATGGAACCCATTGGTCGATTTGAGTGATTTACACCTTTTTCTTAACCATTAGATCCAATAGAATCCGATGGGCAGTTCCAAAATCTACGTAAACATTACCATTGCGGAGGTAATAGAGAAACAAAGGAAGCACATCTGAAAGTACAAGCCTTGACTGCAAAACTTTATACCCAGTTTATTGCCATAAATATGATGATGTATTATCAGTAAAAAATTCTACGTGACACAGACACATTGGATTAACCTTGAGCGGCGTTTTTATTCCGTTGAACACAACTTTTGATCACAAATCAAAAAAGGTAAGATGTAATTATTGTAATATTTTTGAAACCGGATGTTGTTTACTTTCTCTTTTCTGGCTGAAAGCTCCGCAAATTCGGGGTCGTACAGTGATGACACTACATGTATGGAATATGTGGAGTCTCAGCTTTAATCGGATATCTTGTTTGTGCAGTTACGATAAGTAATAAGGGCATTTTGAGAGTGAGTGCTGTGCAAAACTCCGTTAGCATTAGTTAGCATTTTTTCGCAAAATGCTAATTCTAAGGCTTGGTATTACTGTTGTGTTTCTTTTAGCTAAAAATGGTTCATATCTTCAGTTAGCTGAGATTATTATTATTATGAGAGTGCTACACATTAATAGTTTCATAAATTTAAGAAGCCCTGAGACATTATCTAAAAAAAAAAAAGTGGGAGGGGTCCAATGGGGGGATCGCCGGGCTTAAGAGGTTAAGCACTGAAGATATTCCAAATATACCGTACACTTAGAATTATCTTTCATTATTTACGTTGGGTTTCCCTTTTTTGAGGTGCGCTCCGCCATCTACTGTAACTGATACAATGCCTATAGATAAACACCTCATACAACCGCACTTCTATACGTCCAAACTAGCCCTTTAAAGTCACATGATCAGTTCTCTTCACATTGATTGTGTGTGAAATGGATTACCGGTCCAGGGGAAACCACAAGAACATCCTTGACCTTAGACCAGGCCGTGTCATTGCGGTTGCAGATCAGCATGTTGCTCTCATGGAACAGAACGTCTACGGTGACGATGACATCCGGGTTTTCCACGAGTCTCCTGCTTTCAGGCACAAAATGATCTTTGTCGTAGGTGTGATGCATCACCACCAGAACGATTGGTTTCCCACCTGTGAGCACAGAGATAATGTTGGGAAAATACTGAAGGTACTCTTCCAATATCAGAGTACACATGATAACAAAGGTATCCCAACTGTAGCTGTGTACATGACAGGATGTATGATTACCTAGAAGAGCATCAGGACTGTTTGAGGCATATGATAGCTATGTGATTAACATGATGATTCAGCCTCTATGGAGATAGACATATGACAAGCATGATCATTTCTGACGTGGAGCTAATCTGAACTAAACATTGAATACTGCTTTATATTCCTCCATCTTGTGACTGTGTAACTCCCTCTCTTGGATATCAGCATGTGAAGGACACTGTTCAGGAACTAGTTGATGCTCTGTATGTGATGACTACTTCCATTCTGGAGAGGATCACAAATACATGGATACTGATATTGAAGCTCTAGCCGGTGACGAGTGATTATTAACATTTTGAGAAAAAATCATAATTTTGAGATTTTGAGAAAAATACATATTTTTGAAATTTTGAGAAAAATACATATTTTTGAGAAAGTCAGAATTTTGAGATTTTGAGAAAAAGTCAGAATATTGACATTTTGACAAAAATACCAACAAATTCACTTTTTTTGTTTTGACTACTTCCATTCTTGAGAGGATAATAAATACATGGATCCTGATATTGAAGCTCAAGCCGGTGACGAGTGAGATTTTTCTAACAGATAACACAACGTTTTTTTACATTTCCCTGTGTACCTTTGAATAACCAGTGGGAAATCGGGCAATCATCGTCCTAGACATTTCCTACCTGAGATTTTGTCCATTGCCTCTCCGATGTCTTTTCCAACTTGAGACGCGATGGGACAGAAAAGCACCAAGTAGTCACTTTGTTCAGGAGAGATCACCTCGATTTGACCCATCCCTTTGAGGTCATTAACATAGGTCTGATGAGCACCGTTGGTACATCCTGCCACGGAGACATGGAATTTCCTCCCCGGCACTAAACACAGAGAAGATTTGTTTTGAGTAATTTTGTTTAGCTTCATACCACAAACCCAGATGCAGAAGAACCATGTCCAAAAGTGTGACTTAAAGTTTCAAAAGCCACCAGACTCCATTGCAAAAATACAGAAGTGAAGTTTTCACATCTTCCCATAATATAACGGACCAATATGCTTGCTTTTGTTCTTGACCTCTCTGTCATTATTAACGACCAGAGATCCAGTTGTAAAGGTGTATGTTGGTTTATCACAACAACCAACTCCTATCTCACTGCATTTTATCCGTTAAACCATTAAAAAAGTATCAGAAATATTAGCAAAGCAGCTTTATTTTAATGACTAAATGTAGTGTATTGTCTATAATACTGGAATATTGCAGTCTTGAAAGAACACCATGGTGGAAAAGTACTTATTTTGTTCACTTAAAGGCAACTTGTTTGTCTCGTGTTCCCCTTGTGCTGGTCACTATTCTATACGAATCACTGTTATCTGTGATTAAATAAGATAAGATGTACTCTCTTGATCCCAATTTGGGAGATGTTTGCGTGGCAGCAGCATAAAAGACAAGGCGTTGCACATAAGAGAAATTAAAAGGGTAGAAATAAAGAATTTTAAAATGTTATGTTAAACGTTTTGTTATTGTATTTAACCCAACTGCTCCTTAGATGAAAATCACTTGTATACCTCACCCTTAATACAAATGTATTTAAACTTGACATTTACACTTATTGTGAGTGAAAAATAATAATATTAAGACTCACTTCTAGCAGTTTCAACATCTATGTTAAGAGCTTTTATTGAGACACTTGACACTTGCTTGTCTTTCATAAGCTTTGATAGTTCTGGGGGCGGGACACCAGGCTTATGAAAATTGATTTTAAAATGTTTTTTTGTGTGGAAATACTGTATATTTCAATCCCTAATCTTTCTTCCTATCCCCTGCAATACCCTTAAGCACCTCTAGGGTTGGGAACCACTGACTGAAAGGACCAGTGTGTAGCTTTAGTGACATCTAGTGGTGAAAATGCAGATTACAACTATGATCTGCAAGAATTATTATCATTTTTCGATGCCAACCAAGAAGAAAAAAAGCCTAAAAAAAAGCCAATTGAGGGTTTCCATTGGAATTATGAATATTGGGGAGAAGCTTCGTAGCAAGCACAACGTTATGATGGTTATAAATTTAGTCCAGCAAGATCAAAGCACAACCTTCTTCATAATCATGTGATTGTGTAAATATTATATTCCATTTCTGACAATAATTCCGCCCTGTCCTACACATAGGTCCTTCAAGTTAAAGTGCCCACACCCTGAAACTAAATTAAAGTCGTATATTTAAAGCTGTGTGTGAGTATTAGCAGCAACTGAGCTTCGAATTTTGAAAGTGAAAGTATTCATCGTGCAGTAAAATGGCCCCTCTTAGGGTGTTATTGTTATATAACACAGGCTGTATATCCTGCTAATCCTTACATTTGACGCGGATAAATTGACATGTAAAGTCATCACATTTAGAGACACATGCTTTTCTTTAGACAGGAAGGACGAATTGTAATCTGTAAAGTCATTAAAAATGTCGTAAAAAAATAGGCCACCTCTGAAATGTGTACAAAGTTGCAAGAATGATGAGTAAATGTGTACATGTAGTTCATTTCTAAAGACACTTCTTACCCTGTTTCTGTCTCTGGCCGTCCATGTTTCTGAGGAAGATAAATGGAAACCTTTAGTACACACACTTCAAACATGCGTCACAAACACTCTTCTCTATCTCTTAAAAAAGCGTGCGTTGGTCCATGAGACTTAATTAAAATTACCTTAGAATTGTATAATCTGCAGAGTTATCCAGTTTCATGGTAGATATGCAGCAGCCTTAAAAGAAGAGTACTTACTGAACAGACTGATAGTTTATCTGGCCTGACTCTTGCATGTTGCTCTGCACTTTCACTTTCCCTTTCTGCGGCTACGTGCTCTCTGGTGACCGCTGCAGGAAGAGGAGACACTGTGTCTCCTCTCATAACATGTGACAGCGGTGGGAAGTACTCAGGTCTTGTACTTGAGTTAAAGTAGAAGTACTCCCAAAGTGATTATAGACTTTCATCTGTTTGGTATTTATGGACAATTAAAAATATTATAGTCTGTGTCCATCTGATCTGTGTGTTTATAGGTTGAATTTTGTGAAATACCACACTGTAATGTTCCCTCTACTCTGTGTTAACGCTGCTTTCTGCAGGGTTTCCTAGATCTTGTACTTGAGTAAAAGTAGAAGTATAGTCACATCTTATATTTGAGTTAGAGTAGAAGTACTCAGATCTTGTACTTGAGTTAGAGTAGAAGTACTCAGATCTTGTACTTGAGTAAAAGTAGGCTAGAAGTACTCAGATATTTGACTTGAGTATAAGTATAAGTACTCAGATCTACCAGAGTAGGAATACTCTGTTACAACTAAAAGTCCTGCATTCAAAATGTTACTCAAGTAAAAGTAGAAAAGTATTATCATCAAAATATAGTTAAAGTAGCGACAGTAAAAGTATTCATCGTGCAGATTGGTCCATTTCAGAATAATATATATGATATGTTTTATAATGATTGATCATTAAAGTGTTCTCAAAGCTGGTAAAGGTGCAGTTAGTTTGAATGACTTTGTATACTGCAGGGTAGCTTGTGGATTTACTCCAGGTGGAACTAAAGTCTGATTTAACACTTGATTATATTTCACATCATTCATCCAGATCAGTAAAGCAACTAAAGGTTTAAAAGTATTTACTCAAGTACAGTACTTAAGTACACATTTGAGGTACTTGTACTATACTTGAGTATTTCCCTTAATGCTACTTTGTACTTCTACTCCTCTACAATTCAGAGGTAAATGGTATTTAATACCTTTAGTTACTTTACAGATCTGGATGAATGATGTGAAATATAATCAAGTGTTAAATCAGACTTTAGTTCCACCTGGAGTAAATTCACAAGCTACCCTGCAGTATACAAAGTCATTCAAACTAGCTGCACCTTGACCAGCTTTGAGAACACTTTCATGATCAATCATTATAATCAAAGGTGAAATAAACTGTACATGTCAAATAGAATAAGATGAGAAAATTAAATAATGTACAGGAATGAAGATCTTAAATGCAACTTTAATTATTCGTCCTTTTACATTTAAATCTACTCAGTCTTACAGCTTGACCCTCAAACTTGATTTAATTTAAAGGGAACCTATCATGCAAAATGCACTTTTGTACGTCTTTTATACATGAATATGTGTCCCCGGTGTTCCAGGGAACTCACCAAGTGTCAGAAAACCAACCCGGTATCACGGCAAGACGTGAACATGTGACGATCTACCATGCTGGGAGACGTGAATATGTCACGGTTTCGTCCCTTCAAACGTGACAGTTACACGGTATTGTTAACATGGCCCAACCAGTGGAGAAATACCCGGAAGTGCCAAGCAAATGGTCTACCGCGCCTATTGGTCGGTTTTTATTGTCAAAATGAGATGTTTTTAATTTATTTTTTAATCGTCACACTTGATTTCGCCAATTTTCTTGTTGCCCTAGCTGGTCGACACCTCTTTTAGCAGAAACAAAGGCTACATTAATGTATTAAATCGATGTTAATCCATGTGTGTGGATCATAGACTGGTGTGGATGTGGAATTAACGGACGTGACGTTGTGCGATTGCGTTGCCAGGCAACGCAATTTACAAATTCTTCAACTACAACCCTAATTATATTTAAAAACATTTTAGAAGGCCTCACGAAATACTTTAATGTAAATTAAAATGTAAAGTGAAGGGGTGTGTGTAATGTGGTGATTGACATTATTCACCCACGGATCTATGGGTTGGGGGTATTGTTCCGCACGGACATTTTAATTAACCGGACTTACTGTTGATGTGAAATCCGAAAAAAAATACGTTATACACCATAACGGTGCACAGCTGATATAAAATAACTTGTCGTTTTTAAAGATATTACTGATTTTCTTTGAATATAAGAATGTAAATACTGAGTTGAGAGAATAGTCAGGGGATTTGGGTGATGGGAGACACATCTATGGATTCAGAATTTCAATAGCTTACTGTTAAATGACGGATATACCTTTCTGTCTGTGATGTTTTACAAATCAGATATTATAAGTAAAACATGTGAAATAATATAGCAATATCCTGTACAATTATGTGAAAACATGAATAAAACTACACATCTTCAGATGTTATACATACACAAGTGTCCTACACTAATAATACAAAGTTATTATGGCTGTGTGTACCTTGTGTGCACCGCCTAGTGGTTAAAGCACGTTATTGAATTAGTTGTGTATATGATATGTCAATGATCCTTAGAAAATCTTGAAATCTTGAAAGGGATATGCAAAATAGCCATTATATACAGTCTTTAATTAACTATTAGTAGAGAATAACGAGTAATGAATATACTTTATAGGGATCTGCAGATAAATGTTTAGTCTTCTCAAGCAGCAACTATCAAATATCTCTCCTGATTGTTGGCACTTGACAATCACCTTTCCCTGAATTTCTCAGGTGTAACTAAAGCCTGATTTAAGGGTTGTTTATATTTCACATCATTAATCAGAATCTGCAAAGTAACTAAAATAAATGTAGTGGAGTAAAAATACCAGGTTAACCTCTGAATTGTAGTGGAGTAGAATTGCTGTTTTGTTTAGTAATGGATATTGAATATGGAATAAAGGTTTTGACAAGACCTGGTGTAACAATAATCAAAAAGGACGAGCTCCAGATGTCAATGATCTAAACAAAACAGCACACCTGAAATGTATATTTAAATACTTTATTAAGGGCAGTGAATTCGTTTTTTCTGTATGTTTTTCAAATCAGTGTTATACAGTAGGCTAAGTGTCATAGACAGTGTTACATTGCTATTATTATCCTTAAAATATATATAAAACAAAACCATTTATGATCTTTTTTTTTGGGTGGTTTACTAATGACAGTTAATTCTGTTTCTGCTATTGATGGTTTCATTTTTGTGAAAAATAATAACATAATACAATTCAATAACGTGCTTTAACCACTAGATGTGCCTTTCTATCAGCTGTGCACCGTTATGGTGTAAATACAGCGTATCTACCAATTGGATCAAATATAAAAGTCAGCCGAATTAGTATTGATACTGCAAGGAGACGTATTGTGTGAAAATAAATGTAAGATGTTGTTTAATTGCTGATATATTTATGATCTACGTCACGTTTTCAGTTTTGGCGGCAGTGCTTCCTGTTTGTCCAGAAGTCTTCTCATCAGGGCTCTATAAATACAGAACAACGGCAGATATGTAATATTTAATGCAGCCGAACCGTGTATGACAATGCCGTTATGTAATGACCTCCAAAGAGAAAAGCAAGCAAACTCGGAATAAAGTATTATTTTATTTTTAATTGTTTTTTCGGATTTCACATCAACAGTAAGTCCGGTTAACTAAAATGTCCGTGCGGAACAATACCCCCAACCCATAGATCCGTGGGTGAATAATGTCAATCACCACATTACACCATAGACTGTATATATAAAGCATTACACACACCCCTTCACATTTACATTTTAATTTACATTAAAGTATTTCGTGAGGCCTTCTAAAATGTTTTTAAATATAATTAGGGTTGTAGTTGAAGAGTTTGTAAATTGCGTTGTCTGGCAACGCAATCGCACAACGTCACGTCCGTTAATTCCACATCCACACCAGTCTATGATCCACACACATGGATTAACATTGATTTAATACATTAATGTAGCCTTTGTTTCTGCTAAAAGAGGTGTCGACCAGCTAGGGCAACAAGAAAATCGGCGAAATCAAGTGTGACGATTAAAAAATAAATTAAAAACATCTCATTTTGACAATAAAAACCGACCAATAGGCGCGGGAGACCATTTGCTTGGCACTTCCGGGTATTTCTCCACTGGTTGGGCCATGTTAACAATACCGTGTAACTGTCACGTTTGAAGGGACGAAACCGTGACATATTCACGTCTCCCAGCATGGTAGATCGTCACATGTTCACGTCTTGCCGTGATACCGGGTTGCAGAAAACACAACCCTCTCTATTTTCCTCCATACCCAAATCTCTAAAAAAGGGGCTGCAACAGATCTGATAAAAACTGATCCAGATTTGAACACTTCAATGACGTCACAGAAGTGGCGCTATGGCTATTGGGCCAACTCTCCACCTATCAGGGGAATGTGGGGTTGGGCCACGGCCGGCCATTGCCACTCGAAAGCGCTGGAGACGCTGTAGTACATATGCCAGGCCTGTAAGAGGCGCTGTAGTCTGCCACAAAAGCAGCGAAGAAGACTTCCTGCCCATAGTTACCATGGTTACCCTTCTGTTTATTCTCCGCTGAGGCTTTTTTTCTCCCTCCCCGAGGCAAGCGTTTGCTCCCGCTGCTTTAATTCAATGCAATCCCTCCCCGTCGAGGCAAGCACTGTAATTCTCTCCGGTTAGTCCACCAGCAGATGACAAACACCCACCTCTCCGCCTCTTCCAAGGAACGAGGGGACCGTGCGGCAGAGTTTCAGTTTCAGTTTCTTTCGCCGGTCAAGATGTCCGTTAAAGTTGAAATCTTCCGGACAAAATTAGAAAAGTGCCGGTCAAAGGTCTTCTTTGTTATTTATTGAGCTTTAAAACAAATGAATAACGACTCTATAGGCCTGTAACAATATAATAAAACACGGAGGACGGAGATCTTTTTTTCTCCCCCTCTTGACTTGATCAGAGCACGGCTCCCCTCTCCTGCAGGGGGGCGTGGTCAGCTGCAGTCACAGAATCTGCCCCGTAGACAGCAAACAGCACATAGAGCGAAATGAGGCATGGCTAAAATGCATGATCTGTTTGGTATTTTGAAAACAGAAACGTATAAATATACCTTATATAGGTATGGCCCTACAATATATCATTTAAATATAGCATGATAGGTCCACTTTAAGCTTTTCATTATTTGTATTAAATGTCTACTTATATCCCACTCCCCCCGTCGACGCCCGCGAAACAGAGGGCCTCACAATATGTCTTTGCGTGGGGCCTCATGTTGGCCAGGGACGGCCCTGGAAACATGTTCATCCACAATGAGACACATGTACACAGACACTGTGATTGATTGATTTGTATTTATTATGTTGATGTTTTAATGAGCACAAAGCAGCAGCAGCAGGGTTTTACAGATATTTTAGGATATGTTAAACTTGATAACATTTGATCACACACTTCTCTACGGCACACATTTAAACATTAGGTAAAAAATCTGTATATCTCAAAAGCACACTGAATCAACATTCTCATTTAACACGTTTGTACCCATTCACCTACATTACAATCTCTGTTTAAAAGATTTCTTCTGTGCCAATTTTGACAGGAGGAACTTTATCAATAATACTGTAGAGTCGACTTTAAAGACTTTTCAACGAATGGCAGGTTTGTCTTATAAGTTTAACTTGAATTTCGTGTTAATTTGTAAGTGTCATTTACTTAAAGCAGGTTTGTTATTCTTCCATCTATTCTTCTCTAATGCACCTTAGATAAAACATCAGTGATCCAAAGCTTCAGCTCAAAAGCATCTATGTTAATAGTTTAATAGCATCCTTCATTTCCCGTTGATTGCAAATGCATTGCACATGCACTTTTGTCCCTTCAAAATGCATTTATTGGAATAATAAACCCCAGAGGTCTTCTTAAATCTGTGTATAGACCACTACCAAGGTCACAATTACCGCTACAGTCACACACATCAGCTGTTTGTCTTTCCCCCACACTGAAAGAAAGAAAAGATCAATCAGTCATCTCATATCAACAGCGTGCACAACATGATTTAGATCACATGGGTTTTTTCTTTTTACAAAGGAAATAAAATACACTTTTTTACAATCTGTTTTTTTACAGCTTTGGCCATTTGTCCATTCAGTCATTTTCATTATACAGATGGAGCATCTTATTTCAGACAGTTTGAAACGCGAGGGTCGTGATTGGTCCGTGATTGGTCCGTGATCGGCCCGTGATCGGTTCGTGATGAAGAGCCAGTCTGACTTGATACCGCCCCCGTGATAAATACATTTAATTATTGTGAAGCCAGCTGCAATGGATCATTGATCCACCAGGGGGTGCAGTGGGGTTCCACACTGGAGCTCATGTGAAATCAACTTCGATACAGTAAACTGGATGTACAGTATGTCTGGTACTAATGTATAGCGGATCTTTGTTAAGATCCATATGTCACGGATAGGATCATAGTCTGTGCTAAATAAGACATGTAATCATTTACAAAACATCACCATGTTGTTATTTAACAAAATAATGTTGTTTAGTCGAAAAAAACGAACGAGAGGAAATGCAGCCGGCTCTCGATTTTTAATCCTAATTTAATCATCATCTTCACCACGATCATTTATGTTTATGTTCGCCGAATTGACATGAAATCACTGACAAATATGAATATACTGTATTCAACTTCATTAAAATGTTATTAACTTGCCTAAACTCAGTAATTCACTAAAAATATTTATATATTAATGGAGCCTTGTCAGGCAGATCAAGATCCGCGTAGCGGAGGGATCTTGAAGAAGACTCCGGAGCAGCCCTGCAGCAATGTTGCCATGGCTACCCTTCTGTTTATGCCCCGCGGTGGATTTAGCAACATGTAGTTCATGTAATTCTCCATGTCCACTTGTTGCTGATGGTTGTGGTAGAGGAGCTGTAGATTTTGCACTAATATCTGTAGCATGGTCAGTAGCAGTAGCACTAGCAGTGGCTACTGACAGGAGGAAGTGTGTGTGGCGATTGCTGGTATTCAGCGGCATATAGTAATTTCCTCAGCATGTAAATATATGGATAAATGCAACGGGGAAGTTAACTGAAAGAAACCGAATCTGTGGATATTGCATCGACCGACCAAGAAGCATGTCTCCGTGGAGAGGACGCGCTCAGAAAGAGAGATATTCTCTACAAACACCGGGTGAGATCGCTCCTCTGGGACACACCGGTCCTCGTGTTTCCTTTTTTTGTGTGGATTATAAACATTTCTCTTTTTGCCGCCGACGGGCGCAGGAGCAATGAACAATAATGGCCTGGATTAGGCAGTAAAGACAATTTTGGTGTATCGCAGAGCGGACTGTTTAATTTTGTTTGTGTTGTTTGGCTGGAAAATTGTCAATATAATGGATCAATGCATGAAATCTGACTCTGTTTATTTTGTTTAAGGAGTATATTGGGCGTTAACAATTCTGGTTTGCCTTTTATAATATTATTTCATTCAAGAACCCCTTGTGCGTTTAATTAACACAGCTATTTTTGATAGTTGATCGTTACAGATGGCTACTGGCCATGCTACAGCAGTGAGCAGGAGAGGTGGGGAGAGATGGGGAGAGGTGGGGAGAGGTGGGGCTATCGTTATTTTTTCAGGAAATATTCGTATAGAGGTGATTACACGGACTCGGTTGACCCCCCAGAGCGTTTCGTTTGCAAATCTATCCACCTTGGGACCCGTTATCGTTTGTGGGGTCCGTTTCTATCGGCCTCGTGTAAATAATAGGGCTATACGCACGCGAAACTATGCAGATACAAGCAGTTTTGTCCTCGTGTAAACGGCGCCTGAGTGACAAGCTTACAGTTAGTGAAGTAACACTTTTTTTTTGTGAGTCACGACCTGGCTGTTGCATTCTAACATAACGCTCCAAATATGACTGTTTCCACTCGGACTTCAATACAGCAACACCATTGTTTGGTTTCCATGGTAGCGTGTCTCTTTAGTAGCGTGCACTCCTTTCCTGTAAATTACAGGTCCAGCCAGGCAAAACAGTGCACTTCTCTTTCCCGCACTACTGTGACAGACCATGGGGCTGGGTCAGCCACTAACATATTCATATTTCTCTTCTCAAAAAGAGAAATATGAACGTTAGTTTTTAACTGAAATGATCAAATAAAGTCAAAATGTCACAGTGTTTACAAACATTGACCATACCGTTCACCAGCCCCCACCCCCCTATGTTGAGTAGGCTATAGTCTTTGTTTAAAACTAATTGGCCATCGGAATGTGTGTGTCCCAACCCCCCCCCCTGTGATATCTCTTCTCCAGCAGTCTGTAGGTTTGTGTTCGCATATTTATGCTGTCGCAGTTCCTGTTGTTTCTATCGCGCATTGCCGGTATGAAAGGGTCTGTGCCGGAAATATGAAGATAACACGGCAGGGTCCGTTACAGTTTGTTTTCATCTGATTTCAAATAAACAAAGTCTTGGCTTTTAGAATATTAAACTTGTTTCGGCAAATTTAGATGATAAATACAACTATGAAGCTTGTAACGGCATAATTACTTAAGCGGAGAACGGAGTAATTTAACGTTACAGCAGGCATAACAACAGCCGGTGTTTATTTTATTATTATATATAGTCGTTATTCATTTGTTTTAAAGCTCAATAAGGAAGATTTAAACTTTCACACACGTTGACTGGCGAAATACTCTGCCCGGTTCCCTCGGCCCCCACCACGTTGAATAAACAGAAGGCTGCTTTTGTGGAGGAAGTTACAGCGCTACGTACAGGCTCGGCATATGCAGCTTTTTCCAGCGGTATCCATAAATCTCTTAATTTTGACCTCAAAGTGCACCAGATTGATGCATTTAACTTCAATATAAAGAAAAACATCTTCTGTTGTAACAACAATAACATTATAAATAGTAACATAGCTGAACATGGTATTGCACATTTAGCTTTCAGTGTTACTGACCTGAGATGTTTTTATTACATGAATTAAGGTGACTGAGGCTTTTTAACATAGACTTTTCCAATGTCTGAGTGTAATATCTGCATTTTCTATTTTGGTTTGATAAGGACACATCCTGGGGATTGTGTTTACAAACATTGACCATACCGTTCACCATCCCCCACCCCCCTACTGTATGTTGATTTTGTTTGCCTACATGTAAATGGCTGGCATTTAGTACCTACCCCCCTCTGAGTGAATACCTGTTGTACCTGTCCGGGGCTAAGCCCATAGGACGATGCTCTGATGTCAACCCCCCCCCGTTGACAATTCACGAGCGTCTAACTCTCACCCCCCTCCCCCGTCGCACCTTCTAACAGAGCCCCCCCCACATATCAAATCCCAATTTAACCCCTGGCCTCTGGAGCAGAAATGAAAGAGTTTTAAAAATGTTTACGTTTTGGTAAGTTTTTAGGGAAATGTTGTAATATTGCAACGTTGGCCTTAGGTGGGAGCAGAATTTCTGTATTTCTACTCACATTGTCTGAATAAATATATTGAACAACTAAGAGTTAATTTGCAGGATTGATTGCTTACTTAGCCCTATATCAGTATATAGCATGAATAATAATCACACATCACTCATATTTGTTATGAATAATCATTTATCATTTATTAAATAGTAAGTCGCTTTGGATAAAAGCGTCAGCTAAATGCAATTTATGAAAGCCTCACTCAGGATTTTTTTAACAAGTGTTTTTATTGCTCTTGGGGCATTAAAAACAAGATTTTAACTTTAGTTTTTTATATAATATCTGCATTTTCTCTTGTGAAAAACTAAGTCTTAGTTTGGCCATAGTTATTTAATATATAGCGCCATCTTCTGGTTAAATCCTGAAATTGAAAATCTGGCAACGCCCTCTTGGAAAATAGTGGGAGGGCTTAACATTCCCAGATACTGGTCTTTGGCAGGTCTTAGGCAGGTAACTGGCTGGTAGTAGGCAGGAAGCAGTAAGCTGGAGTCTGAAATAAGATGCTCCATCTGTATTTACATTTTTGTTTTTAAAGCCTGGTTGGCATCTTGCTAGGAGTCACATGTTCCTACTTTTCCGATACAAATGATGGCCACCACCAGCGTTAGTAAAACTGTAGTACCTCAATCTTAAAATATCATATAATGAAGAAGGCATATGATAGCTATGTGAATAACATGATGATTCAGCCTCTATGGAGATAGACATATGACGAGCATGATCATTTCTGACGTGGAGCTAATCTGAACTAAACATTGAATACTGCTTTATATTCCTCCATCTTGTGACTGTGTAACTCCCTCTCTTGGATATCAGCATGTGAAGGACACTGTTCAGGAACTAGTTGATGCTCTGTATGTGATGACTACTTCCATTCTGGAGAGGATCACAAATACATGGATCCTGATATTGAAGCTCAAGCCGGTGACCAGTGATTATTAACATTTTAAGAAAAAGTCATAATTTTGAGATTTTGAGAAAAAGTCAGAATTTTGAGAAAAAGTCAGAATTTTGAGATTTTGACAAAAATACCAACAAATTCTCTTTTTTTGTTTTGACTACCTCCATTCTTGAGAGGATAATAAATACATGGATCCTGATATTGAAGCTCAAGAGATTTTTCTAACAGATAACACAACGTTTTTTTTTTTAAAGCCTGGTTGGCATCTTGCTAGGAATCACATGTTCCTACTTTTCCGATACAAATGATGGCCACCACCAGCGTTAGTAAAACTGTAGTACCTCAATCTTAAAATATCATATAATGAAGAATATGACGTCTTCATGAGTAATTTCAAGAACAAATAGAAGTTAACGTGTCATTTCATAAAACCCATAGGTATTAACTATATGTTAGGAGTTATAGTTAATTGCATTTCTCTGTACAATGTTTAACCTTACATTCTCTTCTTTCACCTGCACTATTCTATTAAAATGTATTGTACTCTGTTTCATTTGCACTATTTCAAGTTTTTTATTATATATATTATTTTGTCTTATGTCCTGTATATATAATATGTTGCATTGTTGGAGGAACCTAAGATTTGCATTGCCATAACTACACTGTAGCTGCTGTGCATGTGATAATAAAACCCTTGAATCTTGAATCTATACTACGTGTTGCAGCCATTACACTCATATTGGAGTTATGCATAGAAATCTATCATGGCTTCCGGTTGAGAAACGTCTGCAATCTCGTGTTATCACTTTTCTCAGAAATGTCCAATTTGGCAAAAAAAACACTGTATTTTTATGATCAAATATTTTACACAAGAGACGAGAATGACCATAAGACTAGAGAAGCTACATCAGGCCATCTACTGGCACCTAAACCCAGGACACATCTTCTGAACTCTTCTGTGACTTAGAGAGCTACAATGGAACTCATTGCCAAACTACCTTGCTGACATAGAGTCCAGAGCCTCTTTCAAGAAGAGATTGAAGTGCCATCTACTAATGAGCATGTACCCCTTGTGAATTGTGAACCCTAATTTAATTTAATTTCATGATTTGTACTGGTGGGTGTCTTGTGCACTCATCCTTGGCTGAGTTTGATGTTGAAAGTGGATGAGATTGTTCATGATGTGTGTGATGTTGTTAATGATGTCAGGACTTATGTCTTGAATGCTGTTGAGTATTGTTGTATTGTTTTAAGTGTCGGACCCCAGGAAGAGTAGCTTTTGTCAAGAGCAAAAGCTAATGGGGATCCTAAATAAACATAGATTACATGTTATTTGTTAGACACTTTTATCCAAAGCGACTTACTTACTCAATGCTGTAGCCGATCTGGGGTGAAGGGTCTTGCCCAGGGACACCACGTCATGTCTTGGACCACAACTTCATGCACCAACCGCACAACTTCATGCACCAACAGCACAACTTCATGCACCAACCGCACAACTTCACGCAACAACTGCACAACTGCACAACACTCTGCGCCACACGCATCCCTTAAACATAAACATAAACATATGTTATTTGTTATATTTTGAACACTAGATGGCGTAATGGGGCCACAGGATATAATTGATGTCCCTGGTTCAGGTGGGTGATCTGGGACTGGGAAGAGCAAACAGTTTTTTGACCGTGTTTGTTGAAAAATAAATGGTATTGAAAGCAATGGAGATCACACACGTCCAACTAGTTTACCCAGTTCAGCCATTCCCTCTGTGATATTGAGTGGCAATAGTCACCACACTACGTTTCAACACACCTATCCACATTGCTTTTTGTTGGGGTTTTTAAACCAGCTAATCGTTAGCATCATATAATAGTCAAATAACTGTACGGCACGTTTAGAATTTGATCCTAGAGTGAGCAACATTCATTAGTTTAGTTTTATCAATTGTTGATCTGCAGTTCAGCGTCAAGATACAAATTGATTTGCAGCTTCTTAAGAAAAGCTTATGAATGATTTTAATGTTTTTGTTGTTGTGAGGAAATACTGTATATTGCACCCCTAATCTTTCTTCCTATCCCCTGCAATACCCTCAAGCACCTCTAGGGTTGGGAACCACTGACTTAAAGGACCAGCTTTAGTGACATCCAGTGGTGAAAATGCAGATTGCAACTAAGTGCTGCAAGAATTAGTATCATGTTTCAATGCCAACCTAGAAGGACGCACCCCCCCTAATGCTGCATTCAAAGTCTGCTCGTAAACTCCTACAACTTAAATATTTCCATTTGATCAGCCTTTACTTCCTGTGCATTACATCTCAGGGGCAAACATTGTGTTGCTTCAATTACATGTATCAGATAATACTTGTTTTTAAATTCCTTGCAGATTCATATTTTATATATAAAACACAATCAGCTATGCATTATAGTAGATACGTGAGATCAGGGCCGTGCCTCCCTACAGGCCGATCACGCAGACTGGCGCAATTAGTGTGGCGCGGCACGGTTTCGCCACTGCGAGGCTCCACCTCGCACCCCCCCCCCCCTGTTCAGGAACTAGGTGATGCTCTGTATGTGATGACTACTTCCATTCTTGAGAGGATCACAAACACATGTATCCTGAGATTGAAGCTCAAGCCGGTGACCAGTGATTATTAACATTTTGAGAAAAAGTCATAATTTTGAGATTTTTGAGAAAAGTCATAATTTTGAGATTTTTGAGAAAAAGTCATAATTTTGAGATTTTGAGAAAAGTCAGAATTTTGAGAAAAAGTCAGAATTTTGAGAAAAAAGTCAGAATTTTGAAAATGTCAGAATTTTGAGATTTTGACAAAAATACCAACAAATTCTCTTTTTTTGTTTTGACTACCTCCATTCTTGAGAGGATAATAAATACATGGATCCTGATATTGAAGCTCAAGACATTTTTCTAACAGATAACACAACGTTTTTTTAAACATTTCCCTGTGTACCAGTGGGAAATCGGCCAATCATCGTCCTAGACATTTCCTACCTGAGATTTTGTCCATTTTCTCTCCGATGTCTGAAAGAAAGAAAAGATGAAATGGCACGCCGGTGTGAAAGGGGCATCATGCCCCTTTCACACCGGCGCTTTTCCAGCTCCTGCTGGGAGCTAGAGCCTGAAAAGCGCCGGTTTTTCCTGTTCACACCGCAGCGGCGGCGCGTCATAGCTCCGGAATGCGGTTCACTTCCAGCTCCAAAAAGTTGTCGGTCCAGAGGCAAGAGCTTTGGAGCTATGACGCGGCGTCGCTTACGTCTCTCTTACGTCTCTCTTACGTCCGTCGAGGCGGAGGCGGGGGCAGGGGCATGGGCGGGGTCAACCTCCTGAACAACAACAAAATGCCTGCATTTTATCCAGTTTGTACACAACGATGGAAGACCTCAAAACACAAAAAGGATTATCGGGACCAAAAGAAAGAGCTCGGACGGAGTGGCAGCGGTCGTACGAAAACAAGTCCACATTTTGACTTGCTAAACTCGGTCCTCGGAGACAGACCGACGAGTGGTGTGGGATGCACCGTGAATTCGCTTTGTCTTCAAAGGGAGAGACAGACTGACTGTGGGCACCCTGGAGAGGGCCAACGAGCTGAACACCTTCTTCAATAGGTTTAGCTCTCCGCCCGCTGCTGTCTCCTCCACTTCCTCTTCTCACCTCACCTCCTCCTCTCAGCCTGGCGTCAACATCCCCCCTCTGCTCACCACCTACACTTCACACCTCTCCTCCACCACCCAGCCTGGCTTCTGCACCCCCCCTCTGCTCACATTGCCGCTGACCCCCCCCCCCCCCCTCTCTGCTCATCTTGCCTCAGACCCCCCCCCCCCTCTATCCCCCCTGCCATCAAGCCCCCCCCCCCCCGCTTCACTGTGAGCACAGGACAGGTCCAGAGTCAGATGGAAAAACTCCACCAAGGCAAGGCTGCTGGCCCTGATGGTATCAGCCCCAGGGTCCTGAGGACCTGTGCACGCCAGCTGGCTCCTGTTCTCCAGTATATATTCAACCTGAGCCTGCACCTGGAGACCATCCCGGTGCTGTGGAAGACATCATGCGTTGTTCCGGTCCCTAAAAAGACAACTCCTTCTGGGCTCAATGACTATCGCCCTGTAGCACTCACATCTCATGTGATGAAGGTGCTTGAGAGACTGGTCTTGGCCCATCTCAGACCGCAGGTGAGATCATTCCTTGACCCTCTGCAATTTGCCTACCAGCCTCACCTGGGGGTGGACGATGCCATTATTTACCTGCTGCAGCGTGCTCACTCATACCTGAATGGATCGGGTTGCACTGTGAGAATCACCTTTTTTGATTTCTCCAGTGCATTCAACACGATCCAGCCTCGGCTACTGAGTGACAAGCTGCAGGCTATGAGGGTAAACTCGTCCACCATCTCCTGGATTACTAACTACCTCACGGACAGACCACAGTACGTCCGGCTGGGCAGTGTGCTGTCTGATGTGGTGGTTGGTAGTATTGGAGCCCCACAGGGGACTGTGCTGTCTCCTTTCCTGTTCACCTTATACACCTCTGACTTTCTATACAACTCAGAGTCATAAAATTCTTCCCAAAGGTCAAGGAATACCATGATCATAACACCAGAGGGAGCTCCACAAATCATGTAAAACCCAGATTTGGCACAAAAAAAGGGGAATACACGTTTCGCAATTATGCCACATCAAGGTGGAACGCTCTTCCCACAACTGTAAAGGAAAGTAAAACTATACTTACCTTCAAAACCTCTCTTAAAGAGCACCTTCGGGGGAAAGCATTGCAAAACTGGCCCCGGTAATTGTACAAATCTCAACCTGTCGTACAATGGACAGCTTCCCCCCCCCATCTATGTATATACTCGCATTTTAGACTCTGTTACTAACTGTATATCTGTAGACTTGGTATGTCTTAAATGTCCGGTTAGGATGTATTAGAACGAAATCTAAAATGAAAATTGTAAATAAGCCATCTGTATGTAAAAAACCACCTGTATGTATATTGTAAATAAGCCATCTGTATGTCAAATATGTCTTAAATGATATGATGAATTGGAAATGGGGGACCCTGATGTAAACAAGACGAAAGTCTTTCTCTGGTCTGCATCCCCTTAACAATTGTATGTTTTGAGCTGTACTGTACTGTACCCAATATACAAGCTGTTAATAAACTTTTCATTCATTCATTCATTCATGGCGCACCGAGTACAGGCGCAGTGTAATTGTGTTTATTTTGCTAATTTGTATTTTAAATATTAAATGTAAAGGAATGGAATTAGGGCTGTCAGTCGATTAAAATATTTAATCGCGATTAATCGCATGATTGTCCATAGTTAATCGCGATTAATCGCAAATCAATCGCACATTTTTTATCTGTACCTTAGAGGGATATTTTTCAAGTTTTGAATACTCTTATCAAGATATGAGTGGACAAATATGCTTTATATGTTTGTTTATTATCATTTGAACAATGACAAATATTCTCATGAATATTAAACACAACAACCTCTGAACATTACAAATATTCGCCTCAATTCAACCTGGAACCTCTCTCATACAATAATACAGTGTGTGTGTGTGTGTGTGTGTGTGTGTGTGTGTGTGTGTGTGTGTGTGTGTGTGGTGTGTGTGTGTGTGTGTGTGTGTGTGTGTGTGTGTGTGTGTGTGTGTGTGTGTGTGTGTGTGTGTGTGTGTGTGTGTGTGTGTGTGTGTGTGTGTGTGTGTGTGTGTGTGTGTGTGTGTGTGGAGAGAGACACACTGTGATGGATCGTTGGAGCTATGTGCAGCTCAAGGCATATATGCTTGAACGGGAGCTGCAATCATGTTGCATGTTGAGTGTGCTGACTTTTCGTACAATGTCCCACTGTCTGGCTACCTGCATAAAGTCAAGTGCTCGGCGCAGTTGTCGGCGAAATGTCATTGAAACAGCTCCTTATATCCGTTAGCGCAGCTAGCTAGCACCAGATGCTAACAACAACAACACGTAAGGTGTGCCTCGCTTGCGCGAGTCGCGCCACACATACACACACCGTCCCGGTCCTCCCGATGGCCAGTCCGGGCCTGCCGGTGAGCGTGGAAATGTGGCAGGAGCGGGGCTGTCAGCATCAGCTTGTAGATGGTATTTTAAACTCGATGCGCTCTGAAACTACGGGGCGGTCGAGGACAAAAAATACACATGCGTTAATCGCGTTAAAATAATTAGTGGCGTTAATTTTTTTTTGCGTTAACGCGTTATTAACGCGTTAACTTGACAGCCCTAAATGGAATACATATATATATATATATATATCTTAGCTCTTAGCTTGACATGCTCGATGTTCAGTTAGCATATATGCTAACTGAACATGCTCGTTCAGTTAGCATGTCAAGCTAAGAGCTAAGATATATGTATATATTTTAGCTTGACAGATGGAACAATGCATGTACTCGCATTTTTACAAGAATCTGATTTTGTGTACGTTTTAAATATTCATTGAAGGTGTCTTTCACATTTGAATGTTTAAAAAAAAACAAACATGTATTAGCTGCTATACTGACATGCACATATGTATAATTATATTATTATTTTAAGTGTGGTTTAAAGTTAAATGATATATAGTTATTGGGTAGAGCCAAGTAACCCAGGTGGATGCAATCAGGCCTCTGTTTTTAGATGGGGTTTGTGGCCATGCTGTAGGCCTGACATTTAAACCATAGACTGTATATATAAAGATTTAAACTAGCTGAAGGGCTTTCTGTTCGAACCACAGTGACATCTAGAGGTTGTTTTGTGCATAACATGTCAACCAAAAGGGTAGAGCTGGCTGAATCAGATGGAGTTAAACTTTTTTTTTTTCCAACAAGATATCAAGACACAAAATGTGCTCTACCAAATGGTGGCGCTGGCAGTTAAAGGGTTACCTTCTGAAAGTGAGGAAGTATGACCAGCTTTGTCCCATAGGATTATACAGGCCAGTCCATTGCTGCTTGTTTAAGAAGTTAACTATTTCCAATATTAAAGTCACTGAAATTGTATTCTATTTTATTCACCTATAGACAAACAACACAACACTCCGTGATGGAGCACGCCCAGAGCTCAACAAATTGGACTCGGACACCTTCCAGTGTCCATTTTGTGAAAGGACCGGGTCATACCCTGGTCTGATGGCTCATTTGCAGAGCCACCAGAGGGCACTTGTGAAATATGGAGGTAAGTACATCTATAATCCTATATGATCATTGTATACTTCATCACATTACATTACATGTTACTTGTTAGATGTGTTTAATGCCTCACACATTATGGATACATGTGTTATTTCTGTGCCCCAGGACATCCTTGGTGTAAATTAATTTTGAATTATAAATTGAACATTAAAAATTTGATTTATATTCAGGTTATGAAGTGTTAATAATGCTGGAAAAGTATCCTTATTTGGGGTAGGCACAATATAAGCATAATCACACATTCAATCTGCAAAAATTCAGTTTATAGGCAAAAATATTATTGTTGGTGACATGATTATTTATTGCTCTCGCACAAACACCTTGTTTCAAATTGCATATTTACAAGAAATTCATGTTGGTTTGTTTCTAGAATCCTCTAAACCACTTTCTGTCTCTTTTTAGGTTATAATGTTTATAAATGCCATCTCAAATGTGTGGCCAGCAGCCATTATCACTGTGGCTTTTGCCCAAGAATCATTGGGAGAAAGGAGATGTTTATTAGTCACTTTAAAAACTGCTGCACTGAACATCCAACTACGTTGGCGGCGGCCCCAGCAACCACAACGACTACTCCAGTGATGGCCCCGACGACTCCTCCAGTGATGGCCCCGACGACCGCTCCAGTGATGGCCCAGACGGCCGCTCCAGTGATGGCTCCGACGGCCGCTCCAGTGATGGCTCCGACGGCCGCTCCAGTGATGGCTCCGGCTGCTGCAGCAACATGGCACAATATTTCCACAGCCCCCAACATTTTGATGTCAAAGCGCAAAACCACAACATGTTATTTTTGTAGCCTACAACTAAAAAGGAACATTTTTCACATGATGTTCTGTT